ACTGATACACCGGAAATTTTTCACCGATTTTCGAGTGCTCGTTATAAGTGGGTTTTCTGGTTATTCTATGTTATTAGCACATTATTTAAACATGTTCGCACGCGAAAACGGACGTATATTTTTTACTGTGACGGCGATATTATTATATTATTTTAACGAATGTTATAACTTCCGAAATCGGGTGCGCGCGTGTGTGTTTGTGTGCACGCGCTTTTTGATTCGAAACGACGACCACAAGCGGATTGGAAAACACGACGGGGTTTCTGCTCTCTGTTTCGAAAATATAGATCGTCATAAATGATAGCCCGCAAGCGCATTAATTACGGAGCCGCGGTGGTAATATTATTGTAATAGTAATAAATTAATTCTATTTTTCGTTCCCATGCGGCGCAAGTGTGTTTTCTAAAAAAAATTAAAAAAAACATTTGATAACGCGTGAGCGCTCACACGGTATTACGATATCATATTTTAGTTTATTTTAATAATAATAATATGTAAAAGAGTAACGCCCCCGGTACACGGACCGTCCGTCCGTATCGAGCAGTCCGTTAATCAATAAGATTTAATTTTTAATAATTTTCTTTTTTCGTGAAATATTAATCATATTATATTGGTGTGTGGATGCGATCGTCCCAGCACTTATATATTATGCACCCCTGACCGYTCCTAAAAATAATATTTTCGTTATACTATGCATATTATATGTGGCTGTTTTCCCCGCCACTGGGAATCTTATCAGAACAATCTCTTTGACACCATAATGTATAGTATACAATATTATTCCATTTTTCAAGTGTTGGAAATGAGATTTTCTTCTTCATGTGGAATATTATATGAACCGAATTAATAAGCGGCTGTCGACATCAATTTATTATTTTTGTTATTTTTGACGTGGAAGCCAAAAAGGGACAACGCGCGTRGTACCGAGTAATTGAAGTCCCTATTTCCGATCGATGTGTATTCGTTTCAAATTTAAAAAACGAAAAAAATTTCATCTGAGATAATATTTTAATGTATATAATATTTGAAACCATCTGGGACGCGTTCCCAAGCAAAACAAMATAAACTGCCAACCGCGATTGCTAGTTGTTGAATATGTTGGTTATGTAAGGCATTCGAACTTTTTTAATCGTTACAGAATTATTTGTTATTTAATTCAACTTATTCAACTTAAAAATACGATACTAAATATTATTGTATTGTTTTGTTRGTAGGTATAGGTAAATACTTGGGGTGAATAAATAAAACAAGAGTTATTATAACTTGCACTCGTATAATATTGTTTTGTGATCTGTACTTCTGTAGACACTTTTAACACGAACTGTTTATTTTTCATTGACAAAATTATGGCAAAGAATCATTTTCACGAATGATGTGTTTAATTGAWTTTGTGTTTACCACGGATATATCAGCTAATAACATTGTGCACGGGAATACAGCATGATTAGCATCGTTAGGATTGTTATTAATTATTATCATAAATACATATTTTCATAGTTATTATATATAGTTTTTACAGGAAATATTGAAAAAGTATCATTGCTTGTAAAGAAGTTGAAATCATACTTTACAACAAAAAAGTGAATATTATAATTGCCGCGTAAACCMTACACTACACATAATATGTTGCTACGTCGTCGAACCACATCAAAGACAAACGAATTGTTGTGCGGTAATAMTTTTTTGGAATATAAACATTCCTACATTAATCAGCACGTATAATGGGCGTATTATATTTTATCTGCTTAAATTTAAAAATAAAAATTGAAATATTGAAAAAAATACCGTCGTGGGGGTGTATCCCTCTCTCATATCCCCCCACCCATGTTACCACCACTTAAATATACTATGCTCGTTGACTATGATTCAGCACATTATATCGCAAGACCGTATTTCAAACCGCGGTAGGTATACGTATAACAGATACGCGGTAGGTAGTATAATAATAATAATAATAATAATGTAGGTATAGATACTATATACGTAGTATTTATTCTTATACACGATGGACGATCGAATTGTGGAGATGGATTGCTTGAAAGGTCTGTCAAATCGTCAGCGGTAGGTAAAGTGGACGACCCTTCACCCTTATTCAGCAGATAATAATATTACAATATATAATAATATAGACGGAGTGCTCTCGCAGCGATCGAAATCCAATTTTCCGTTCAGTCGTCGCGAGCCGCCCCGAAACACAAAAGCTATACTTGCAATTACGCGACAATACAATATTATAATGTGCAACACAACGTCAATTCAACCCGGTAACAATGGACGAGATGAGCCTCAAAGTCGTCATTGACAATCGCGGTGGAGTTCTTAATTCCATGCCCACGCTGTAACACAATGAGTGGGTAGGCAGCACTACGTCTTCGCTCGCGTTTCCTCCGGTASAATGTTTTCCAATTTTTACCGACCCGTCGCAATAACCTAATTATTACTCGGCGGTGGCGCTGACATCTCGACAAAGTATGTACCGTCGAAATCTGCCTCGTGTTTTCCTTTTTTTCGTTACCGCTTTAATGACGTTAACTCGGAAATGTCGTTAATTCTCCAGACGTTTCTCCCGGGTAACAGATTTACGATATCCGAAAGTCATTTGACAACCCACATAACTAATAATACAGATAGGTTTARTTACATTATTTTACAAAATGTTTAGTATAACATATAGATAAATTATTATTATATTTATCTACTATAATATAGGTGTAAACCGTCCGATTCATCTGATTCAGTGAYGTTTAAACGTATGTACATTGTACAATGGCCATTTTTGGACGCACAAAACGATGTATGTAGGTTAGTCGTTGTAGTTTTTAATGTGCCAATATTAGATCATTAATGCATAATTGAAATAGTCGAGAAATAACTTTTTTAACTATACTTTGAACTATCATTTTAGGACCGCGACAACGGAATTTGTACTAATATTGTGATTAGGAACATAAATCACTCCTATTGATTCTTCGAAAAATAATAATTYATGGTATCGATATAATTTTTTAATAAATGGTAATAAACTAATAACAGATTGTAGTATTGTTCAATCATACATAGTAATATTATTATGTTGGTCGTGGTGAGGTCGCCTGATGTTTAAAAAAAAAAAAAAAACATATTAAAAGTTCAAATCTTCTTTCATAAACTTTTTAGACCTTAATATATATGTGTAAAATTCTAAAATATATATACATATTATATATCAGTGTACACGTTGCAGTATTATCATCTTTTTTTTTATATATGAGAAGATTATTAGTCCAATTTACTGTAGTCCGTACTACACTTACACATAGAGAGTAGAGACGTTAATATGGTCATGTACCAAATGCATCATTAGGCTTAGAGAGCTATTCGTGTTCGTTAAAATTTCCGAAATGTTTAAAGATTCCCACTCAAAACTGTTTAAAATGTAAATAAGCAAATTTTGCGAGGAAAAAAAATATGAAAAATAACCGAGGTCGTTCATGAGGCGTTGACAAGGGGATATCGCTAAAAGAGTATACCAGATAAGTGTGTAAAACGATATTTACATTACAAAGCCGGCTGCGGAGAAGCTCGAAAAAATGTGTTTGGAATAATAAATAAAATAAATATATGTATATAGTATGCAGGGAAAAAGTGTACGATTCCCTTGGCGACAAAAAATAAAATAAAAACTTACTCGAGTAAAGAGTGAGTGGTAGAGGGACAGAATGATGGTGGGACGGGGAGAAAGAGAAGAAGCACTGAATGTCACGGCAGAACAAAAACATCAGCTACTCTTGAAAAAAGTTAATGTGACAAAATGGAATTTTAAAAAGTCTACGGTAAAAATATATTAAACATTCTGCGCGAAGCACTGCGAGGTTATCCCGTGACAGATACGGCATAATGAACTTTCGTGTTGTTCTCACAAAGGGCACGTGAATTATTTTGGACTTAATTAAAAAGACACATTTTTTTCGGTGGTCGTTTACAAATGCACAAAACATTATAAATAACTTTCAAAATCAAAATTACGGAAATAGCGAGAAAAAAATTAACCACTTTAATATTTATACACGTCGAACARCGTTTTTAGTATACCGAGCTGGTCGTGATGGTTATATACCTATAAAATTGATGACCATTAGCAAGTTTGCAAACCGCGTTTTCGTTTATATATTTTTCTCTTGTCACGTCTCGTGCTAATCTTAAGTATTTACGTTTTCACTCTCACAAGTCAAATGTCACACACTGTTCATAATATAGACACTTACCATTTGTCATTGCATAGATAAAAATAAATGAGTATGTTCTTTATATTATCACATACCTATACCTGGTATGTATGGTTTAAGATAAGATCGTGCGTTATATATTATATTTAAATTAACTTGTCCTGACTGACTGATTCATAAAGTCAGTTATTTAGTTAGTAGTTTCATTTTATGATGTTATAAGACCCACTGKGAAAGGATTTTCCCAGAATTTAAAGCAGGAGTATCTCGAAGTCTAAACGAGGATTTTGAAATTCACAGAGGAAATATGTTTTTATTTTTCTATAAATGGTTGCCGATAGTTGCAGATCATAAAATTAATAGAAGAATTATTTTTTGTATGTATATGGTTTCTATTGATAAATAGGGCAGATTTGGTAAGATCTGACGTGGAACCTTAAAACTTTTTTGTTGACTACCCTAAAGAAAATAGTHATGATAAATCAAGGTGATCTAATAAATAATHATAATTATAATTATTATACTAATAAAGGCAATTATTTAATGATAATCTCTACTTGTAATATAAAAAAAAGTTACAGTATACATCCTGAGCTGTGACGGCTGCATCGATATCAAGGACTTCCACCTCGATCTGTAGTCCGAGCTGCTTTACCTTGCCAACGAAGTTACCGAGTCTGGATGACAAGTCCGAAAGATGTTTTTCGTSGCAGAGATGGAACTCGCGACTTTCGGGAGTTCGAGGAGGAGACATCCGTGCCGCGTGTACCTCATTGTGACGTTGGTCWCGACGTCTACACTGGATAGGCTGCAGTTGCAGACCGTCAGGATTGTGTCCCGGTAAGTCTTTTCCTCAACGTTCCTGACGACAATAGCTGGTGCCTTGTTTGAAAACTCCGACGGCTGCGAGTGGGAGGCGGCGCGGGACATGGTCCACCGCAGTCGTCATTGTTTTCGCTTATCTAATAGAGCACCTTCTGACGACCTTAGACCAATCCTCGGCGTCCGTCTCCATGGCGGTGTCAGCCTCGGTCTCTGGAGGGAACTTGGTGGCTGAGGCCTTCGAAGTCCGCTTACTTCGGCTAGCGACGGCCGTTCTCGAGGACTGGCTGTTCCAAAACCCTGGGGTAAGAATACTATAAGTAGTTATCTTATGATTATCATATATTATGAAAATTATATTCTGTAATACATAATATATAAATTTACTGAATTAAAATAACAATAGGGTTTTTATTGTCTTCACACTTATTTTAAATCTAGTCAAGTGTGACTAATGAAAATAACCTAACATTGAGTGTGCAATATTACAATCAAATCATCGCAATTGGTGAGTTGATTCCTGATACCTTTTTCGTGTACACATTAGTTGATTCCCGAGTCATTAAGAGGTACGTACGAATTGATTCCCAGGTCATTATATATTTTATTTAATATTTAGTAAAATATTCAGCCTATTAGCATAACCCAAGAAATACCAAGGAGCTAGGTTGACTGACAAGTTTCTCAAAAATGTTGTTTTTTTTTAGTTTTTTCATATTTTGAGAATCATTAAATTTTTATTTATTAATTATTTATTGTATTATATCATATTTATTATTATTAAAAACATTTAGTA